AGCCGCGCAGAACACCACCATCGAATAATTTCTGTAAGGATATGCAGAAGCATGTAATTACTTGTATGGTTTCCATAAGAATATACCATAAGCACATCAGCATTTGATAACAGCACGCAGAGACCACAGGTGCTTGCAGTTCAATCAAAAGACCCTACCTTTATTGCTTTTCAGATGCACAGCTGATAGCATCAGTCATGACAGCGTGAGCATTCGCTGCCCTGTGCTGAGGACTCCTCAGAGGAGGTAGCCTTGCCTCTCATCTCCTTGAGTCCCTGCCTGTGTGCAGGGTGTGTACACTGCAGAAGACACTTTCGTTGGCATTTGCATACTCTTAGCAGAAGTCATGAAAGAGCAAAGCGAAACTGCTCCTTCTTTCTCTGTTCTTTCCCTCTGCCCATAGTAAATGCTGGAGCTCTGCTTCTCTTCAAGGACCAGCTATCTTACAGTCAAATAATTTCTCTGGGAGAATTTTCTTCTTGACTTTCCTGAAGTTATGTAGCTGTAATCATACAAAGGCCTCTGGCTTTCAAAGACTGTGTCTGCAGAGCTGCGATGCTTGCTAATAATGGATTCTCCAAGTGTAAGCTTGAAAAACAGGTGCCCAGTTTGCATGCCTTTTTTTGCTTCACACAAAAAAATCCAGAGGGATTCACCAGAGGTGGCACCACTCAGTGCAGGCTGTCCCAAAGAAACTCATGCTAAAGCAAAGATTGCAACTCCAACCCCTGCCCCTGGCAACTGGTCCCATGGGAAGAAGAGGGATTTTTTTCATTTTCTAAGTTGTTTTGTTAAAGTCATAGAAAAAAAGGTCCAAATAAAACTGAATCAGTGGGAAAAAAACCTCTTTTTCTCCCCGTTAAGACATTTCCCATGAGCACCTTGGTAGGTATCTAACACTGATGAGATAAAAGAACAAAGACCACAAAAGCTGTTAAAATTAAATCCATTGAATATGGTAATGAAAACAGACTGTTCTGTTGAGCCGTACCTCTTATCTTACTAAATGGAGGAAGTAAATGTCTCATCCAACTTTTGCCCGCTCAAGTGGAAACTCAGCAAATTTTAAATAATTGTTCTGAATTACTAGAACCGTTGTAGTTGCAATAATGCTTATTTATGCACTCTGCAAAAAATGTCAGTCTTCTGTGATGATGCAATTTAATGAGTGTATCCACCAAAATACAAACTATGGACTCTTAACGTTTACTGTGTGTGAAGCTATGGGACTGCTGCTGCAGACTTTCTGTTGTCTTACCTACATGACAAATACCATTGTCCAATGACAACGACATCGTCCCAAATGCTCTCATGGCTATGAGTCTTTTATAGTTGATTTGCTATTTGTCGTCTTGCACGTGAACTCCTTGGAGCCACGTCCAAAATGTATGTTCAGTGTTTGGATTTGAACGCAAAACTAAACAGTTTGTTTACGGGTTTTCTTCCAAAAGCCTTGCTTAGATGACGGTGATTTTGTCTTGAAGTAAAATAGTCAACCTCAGCTGAGTATGGTGCCTCTTGAAGAACAGCAATCACTGAAAAAAATCCAACTGTTTCTTTGTCAGCCTTGCAGACTTCTTGTAATTTTCCATTTTCTTCAGCTTAATAAATGATTTTCCCAGGTGGTATTTATATTTACAGATCCAGTACATTTTCCATGTCCAAAAAAATCCATCATTTGGCCACGACTCCCACCACTACCACAAAAAGCTCTCAGATTCATCTGGTGTAAGCTACCTTGGCAACTCAGTGCAGCATTTTATCCTGTTTTCCACTGGCTTTATGCAGTATTCATCAAAACTTGTACTTAAATGAAAAAATATATTTCCTTGACTGTCATTTTGCTATAAATTAATCTGCATGTCTGGTCTGTGAACTTCAAAATTGGCGTTTGTGGTACTCACATGATAGCTGACAACATCAGCTAAAGGTGGTGGATAAACCTCAGTCTTATTTTGGTGGGTAATCATTAAAGAACAAAAACGCATGGGTTATCTGATCCAATGACAAGCGTTAGTGATTTATTACAGTTCATGGTGTACGGATCACTTCTCCCAGCCTTTATGGATCCTATATCTCTGTATACTACTGCAACATTTACTCTGGCTTTCTGCCACATGGCATTTTGTACCCAGGGATCAAGATTGAGAGTTGTGTAATTTCCACAGCCAAATCTCTATATTCAGAGTAACAGGGGTGCAGTCATCATTTTGTCACAGGTATGCCTGTTCATCACTGTTACTGAGTCCCTTTCAGATGTACCTCTTACATCCAAAACTTGTATTTACATGAGACAACCTGGCAATCCTAACACAGCCCTCCGTTTTTTTACATCCATTTCTCATTTCACCTCTTCCCCATGGATGCCAAAGAGTAAACTGTACTCTGGGGGAATCCTGCAAATAGATAAAATTTTGCAGTGATGTGAGATGGTCTTCTCAAAACGACTCAGAATGAATAATCAGCCAGAAAAGAGAGTTTTATGATCCTAATAATGTGCAGGTCAGTTATTCTTGCATGTGGGATATGCATAAGTCATTAATAAGAACATCTCTCCATTATTATGTGGGAATTTCCCATGTGTCTCTCTAGACTAGCTGCTGCTGAAGAAGCCTCTTTCCATCCATTTCTAGGTCTGTTGACCTTGAATAAATACTTTGAGCACCATTTTCAGACCCACACCAGTTCATCTTCCATTTTGTGTGCAGCTCTGCCAACTCAGAGCACTGCCAGAAGGCTGAAAGCCTCATTGGCCATGTCTGTATTTTTAAATCACACTGAGTACTTAAAGCACTGAAAGGCTTTAGCTTAGAGAAACACAATAAATGTAAATACTCTAGCCAGACTGCTAAATTGTGTTAATTATTATTGAGTTTGATTATTCCCTTAAAACAAATGTTGTTGTGCAAAAGGTATATCTCTGAACTGGACATGCTGAAAATGTAATATGCATGCTTTAAATTGTGACTTGGAAACTGTGTCCATTTTCTGACATACCAGTCTTACACTAGCATAATTCAGTTGACTAACTCCATGGAGTTAGTACCTGCCCTATAGCATATGCGAGTAGAGAGTTTGCAAGCAGAAAAGATGAGGTCTAGTTACACAGACTGATGGGGAGTCGTGGTCCTCCTGGCTCTGTCACCAGTTCCCCGTATGGCACAGAGTAAATCACTGAACTTCTGAGGCTTTCCATGTATTAAGGTAGTTTGCCTGACACAGCTATATTTCCTGGCTTGAATTTTCATGAAAATGGGGCTTCTATGTGTTTTCTTCCCATTTGAGATGCTAGGTGTGAGAGCTCTGAACAGGCATAAAGCATCCCATGTTGAATAATCTCAGTTCTGGTAACAATGCTTTGTTTCTGATGTGATTGCAGAAGTATCTATCCCAGCTGGCAGAAGAGAGTCTGAAAATGAAGGAAGAAGGCAGCCATCTGCCTCAAGATGACACTGGCATTGTTCCTCACTTTGCGAAGAAAAAACTATGATGTGGATGAACTGGAAGAGCTATAATGAGTGAATGCTGATACTTTATTTTTTTTTATTTTTATGATACAACTGTCAATTTGCACTGTACAGAGGAGGGGAAATAAAGAGCATGTTCCATGCATCTATGCCCAGAGTGCCATTAAAAACCAAAATGCCTGAAACTGTTTCCCACGGTGAAGCAATGCTGGCATATCTGTAAGAAGTGGAGCAATTCTTTCTCACACTCTGCGTGCTGGGAGTGGTTTCCTAGATTAAATCAGAATTCTCAGGGATTCTTAAAGTTTTAATTCTGATGTGACACATCAGGTCAGGCGGAGTATTTAGAAGCACTCAGCATCCTCCAGTGGACGCTGGAAGGAAAGGAGATGCGACTATAAATAGGCTTTAATGTTGCTTAAAATATCTTCAGCCATTCACTCATTGCCCAGTGAGAAGTAGGATTTGCATAGGACATCTAAAGCCATTGTGCTAAAATTAGTCAGTAGATGGCATAATACAAACCCCATCAGCATCCACCTCCATGTGTCTTAGAGCTTGGTGAAATGATCAAATGTTTGTGTTGTTAAGCCCTGACTGTGTTGTACGAATGCAGAGGGAGCCGCAGTCTGTCCCAGGGACCTTACAGCCTGAACCCAGCGCAGTGAGAGCAATTCGAACGCACGGGCTGACAGCTAACCTGCTCTGGTTTCCAGCATTTTCCATGTTGTGATCAGGATGTTCTCCAGGTACCGTTGTGTTTGAAACTCTTCTTTTTGATAATTCTAAAGGGTGCCAACTTTGAGTCTTACAGACTTGAAACTCTCATGAGAGGCGTTTTAAAGTGCCACATGTTCGGACCATGTCTCTTTTAGACATTCAAGATCCTTGCTTTTGGGGTCTTTTTGTTTTCTTTCAAGCTTGCTTTTCCTCAGCTTGGCAACATTGAATTTTCCTGGTTTTCATGGAAAGACGCCAGACTTTTAATATTGTTTTTGTATTTTATTTCCCTGAATTTTTTAAGGCAAATGCAACAACTGATGGCTCACAGAGTGCTGCACTGAGAACACAGGATGCACCAGCAGCTCTGGCATTATTATGAGCTATTGTTTCTGCACAGTTGTTGCTTAGTAGTTTGCAGAGTCCCTTTGAAATGCACTGTACAAGTTTCTGGTTCATTTCAATAGGGCTTTGTGTAGCAAAGTGAATGCGTACGCAAACCATTGCCAGAATTGATCCCGGAGTTATGCTTTTATAAAACGCTCCACGCAATCTAGACAGATGGGGATTTGCAGATGTATTTCCACTCTTTGCCTGACTCTAATATTCATCATGGTATGTTCTGTAAAAATTGCTGGTGCTGGATGTCCTGTTTGATGTTGTGGAGAGGAAATAGTTTCCCAGAAGGTTCTAGCCATCCCTAAGAACAATGTGGATGTCGCAAAATATTGCAGAGTGGCTAAATTGCCAAAACTGCTTCCACCAAAATATTCGTTCCATTATTTCTTGTGCCAGCAGCGATGCTTGTTCTCTGAAGTACCCTGTGGCCAGGCAGTGTGTCTCAGAGGTGCCTGGTGTTGCCTGAAGCCCTGTTCCATTTCATGGCCTGTGCTTTCCACTCATTTTTACCAGAGGTGGGTTCAGATTTCATATTTGGAATTCCTGCTTCTCGCAAGCTGAGGGATTCTTTGCATCCCAGATTCAGATGTGACCTATCCAAAAGACAAGGGGAAATTAAAAACATTACAGCCTAAATCCTCCTTTGTCCAGACTTGAAGTATGTTAAGACTTGGGTCCATGTGTCACTTAAATCAGCTTTTTTTTTGTTTTTCCCTATGGAAAAAAATAATATTGCAAACGAGGTATTTTTCCTTCAAGGGTTGGGTTTTTCTTTGACTCTTTGTTTTTCACATTGCAGTGAAATTTGAGGACAGGGCTGTTAGGGCGAGAGCTTGTATCGCAAGCTGTAAGATTACGAAAATGGCAGTAAAGATTGTGCAATTGTCTTGTAAAGCACAGCTCTCAAGCTGGTCATGTATCATCTGACTGTGAAGCTCCCTTCATGCCCTTCAGCATATTCTGAGCATAAGGGAAGGAAATCACTACAAATGCAAGCATCAAATCTTTGAAGCTAACCCTGCTATCAAATTGGGGCTCTCACCGGCCTAATGGGAGCTTGTTAGACCATGTGGTTAGGCTTAATTGGATGTGAGACATAGCTGACTGTATATCAAAGTCATATGCCTCCAGCAACTTTATCCCCAGGTAACCTCAAATGAGAAAAGTATCACTGTTATTATTCTTTATTTGTATTGCAGTAGAAGCTACGGGTCCGCTGCCTTTATTATAGGCACAGCACAAATCCACAACAAAGACTTTCCCAGGCCAAAAAGCTTTAAATCAGACTTTCCAAAAACAGACAACAGGTGGATACAGGCAGGCAGGGAAGGCAGTAGGTAACCATGAGATTTTGACTGGCAGCAGCAGAATAATTAAAATGAGTGTTTACCCAGGGGCTTATTTTTGGATTTACGGGAGATGATTCAAACTACTTTCCCCATCCTCTGGTTCTGAACCAGGATCACTCCCATTCTTCACAGCTTGCATATTTAAACTCCTTTGTTCACCTGGCCAGCTGCATTAGACACGCAAAATCCTTTCCTCAGAGTGGGCCTTGGTATCCTTCAGTCCCCCATTGCTTAAGTTTCAGTTTCCATCCAGGGCTCCAAAAGCTGGAGTCCTGACCGAGGCTCACTGGGAACTGTCCTGGCTCCAGATAACCTTGTTTGGGTCATGGATACAGGCCCTAGCTTGCCGCTGAGGAAGGAGAAGGCTCCAGACGGCATCTCTGCCCTGCGTAGTTTCCTCTTCTGGAGGGAGCTGACTCAGGGGAGTGATGCAGGTGCAGTGCCCAGCCCCGCAGACGTGATCAGACCCAGACATTTGTAGAGGTGGTTTGGACACCCCGTGGCTTTGGGCTCTGTCCTGACACAACAGCAATCTGCAGAATCCTGGGTACAGCCAAACGGGCAATTCCCCTTCTGAGAAGGTCGTTTCTCCCCCTAAAACTCAACACTTGAAAGCAGTTAAAAGCAATCCCAAGTCTCAACTAGCTCCTAATGATCCCTATGATCAGTTTTCAGCCTGATGCACTTTGAGAACTCGGAGGTAATCTCCTTCCCTCTCCAACAGGCCATCATGCAATGCTGACAGGCACTCAACTCCTCAACTTCTCTCTACTACCTATTCTGCTGAGGAAGAAGGCCACTGTAGGCAGCCGCTTACCTTTCTCAGCTGGTGTAAAAATGTGTTGTTTCTTTTGGTTTATTATATTTAAAATCTTGACTTTTTTTTTTAGTTGGCATAATTCATCATCACTATAATCCACGCTGTTTATTAATACATATATATATATATATATAGCACAAAGCAGGCTCAGGTCTAGCCAAATAAATATCGATATTTAAAAAGGAGCTTCCTTTATATATACAAACCATTTCAACACATCTCAACCAAAGATTGCACTTTTTGAATAGGGACTGTGTTTTTCATCTTTGTGAAACCTGTATTGATCTCAAATAGTCTTTAATGTCAATCATCTGCAACTTACTTTCTTTGGAGTAAAAAATAAAAGAATTAAACATTTGCCCCATAAGATTAGACAAAGTCTCATATTGGCTTTAACACTAAATTAGTGTTAGGCTGGTTATATTCAGGGTTTTTCTATTCTCTAAGGATTAAGGCTGTGATTTGTTGAATTATACTTGAACTGGACCAGATGTACTATTTATTGAGCTTATATAATCTTGTTAATTTAAGTTTTGGCTTGTAAACAGTTGGAATTTGTTAGTACTTGTTTTAATTATGTAGGAACTGTCACCAATATTAACTGATCTGTGTAACTGATTGCAAAGTGTTTCAATTTGTGTTTCTTAAAAAGAAAGATTTTAATAAAGAGAATTATGAAGTATATACATTGGTGGGCAATTGTCCCAGCAACAACATGCTTCTAGCTTCCCAGGGGATCTATTAATAACCAAAATGACTAAAAGATAGTTTGGGGGTTAAGAAGGAAGCAGGAGGCCAAAATGTTTGCTTTTAAATATAATTTCTAGAAGTTGTGATTCTTACCAGGTAGCTCCTGCCATACAGATCGCAAGTGATTGCTGTCATCTGGTGCTGAAGCTGAAGTGAACACATCTCAGCGGTTCACTCTCTGATTGTTATTAATTGTTATTACCCACTCCCGCCCCTCTAGCTATGTCCTCACTTCCCTTTTTCTCTTTATTTCTGAATGAACTGGGCAAGCTGTCTGTCCCCACCGGCTTTTCTCTGTCTCCATCCAGGTTGTCTTCTCAGCCTTCTGAAAGCACCATAAAAAATCGGCCCCAGCCAAGCACCTTCTCCACCTCATCTCAACCTAAGTCCCCCCGTTTGCCCATTTACCCTGTTTCCCTTGGGCTCTCCCTCTGCCTTTGCTGATTTTTCTTCTTTTCAGCAGACTGTCCTCCCCGGCGCCCTCCCAGCTCCACAGGGACCTTTCCCACTCCCTGTCCTTCTCCCTGGCTCACCTCCATCGCCAGCTACCGGAGCTCCTAGGAGAAAATACCCAGCCTCAATCAGGGTGATGTAAAGACGTGCTTATATTAAATATTTAAAGAATGCAATGAGGACAAAAGCTGAGGGGAAACTTCACCACCAGCTTTGATGAATTCACTCAGCAGAAAACACTAGAAGGAGAACTGAGACAAGGCAATGTCCAGTCCATGTGCAAGGCAGGGCATGGGGCACCATCAGAGCACGAGCTATGGCTCCCGCCACCCGCCGAGGGAGGGAGGGGGGGCTGTCTGCAGGTGGGTCTGTCTGCCCCACTGAAGGGACAGGGAAATGGGTCATGGGCAAAAAGACTGGCACTTGGGTTTTCTGACTCCCCAATTCATTAAATCAGTGCTTTAACATCTTTTAAGTAACTGTTTTGCAGCTGAGGCACACATGTAATGTATTTTAAGCACAAATGGTTTCA